ATGTTTGAATTATTGTTTTGCTGAGGTCCAGCATCAGCCAATTCAAATTCTCCCCTCTCTCTAGCTGATTTTAAGCAAGACTATCGCAGTCCGTGTTACGGGTCTCGACTGTACAGTCTGACGAAATAACAAGTTCGTTTTTGCGTGCAATTCGCAGAGTAAACAGCAAATATGCTTTATGTGCACGAAAACCCTGTGATCACCATCGCCTCAACCAAGCTAATATATGAACTGCCAAAATTTGACTCGAAATCGCATTGTTGGTGTTCAGTGATGGCGGTGAAAGGTGAACGATTCAGATCGTGTGATGCTCAAGTGATTCGTTCGTCAGTGCTTGGCATGTTGCTCGCAACGAGCCTGTTACGGAGTGCCGGAGGGACAGTAGGCAATCTGTCGCAAGCGTGCACAGAAAGCAGCCAGTCATTTTCCCTAGTGGAATTTCTCGTATCAGAAAATGAGACCGTATCGGCAAGGGCGTCGATATTTGAAGGTGGCGCCAGAAGGTACGTCTTCCTTCTGTTCAATGCAAGGAGACCCCTGTCTCATACACGACAACCGCATGAGATACTCAGCGAAATGTAAGTATACACAAAACGATTAAATGCATATTTTATACCTCGCAATGTTATTAGTCCTAGCAATATGGATATATCATTGATTGATGCGTACTTCAACCGTTTGGATGGATCCTACTCCCCAAAGAGACCAGACTGGTTCATCGAACTTGCTTATACTCCGACAGCACGTTTAGGAGTGCTTATATTTGATCGAAAGTACTTCACGAATGTGGTGAAAATAAAACCGTTCGACTTAAGTCGATCGAGCCGTTTCAGAGAAACCAGCAACGATTGTCTGACACCCAACTGGGAATATGACCGTAAGCAAATCTTGGTCTTGTCACGTCATAATCATTTACTTTAGCTTTGTACACCAACACAGACCTTTGCTACCTGAGTCTTTTACCGCTTCGAGTTGGCCGCTGCCCAACCGGCAAAGGGTTGCCTGGCACCTCAGTTTGTGGCTCCCTGAAGAAAAGTATCCCTGCAGACGACTGTGTGAGTATATCATTGGCCTTCGTATCTGTGCATTGCATCGGAAAATTAAATTGTACATTCGTAAATTGCTGGGAATATAGGTGAATCGAATCTGATTCCAAACGACTCTTGTAGCTTCTTTTATAGCCACGTCGTTAGCGCCTCTCCACAGCTGATTTAATGTGGTCGTCTCCAATAGAGGGAAAAATACAAAATGGAAGCCTGTATAACTACAGGTCTCGCTAGTCTATTTATCCGACAAGACCTTGAACTGCTCGTTGTTCGCAGCTCATGGCTTAAGGTCGATTTTGGCTGGTGACCTTGCAGGAACAAAACGTTGTACCGGGGCGCAGATGCCATGGCATCTTGTCCACACTGTCGGGTTCAACGAACAGAAATTCGTTGCTCTGGATTTCGCCGATTTCCGTTATCCTCTTTTAACTTAATCAACAAAGCTGGATTCCAGCAACTCTGTCTGATAGTTAAAAACAATGACGTCACAGCTTTAAAGTTGAGTTTTAAAAATAATGTATCACCTTGAATGCAAAGAATTTATTTATGCGGATTCTGTTCATTTTTCAAGCAGTCATACCTTCAATTTGTTGTATCTATTGAAGTTTCTCATCAACACGATACACCTCATAATTGATTAAAACTGATAATTGGCACATGACATAAACCACGTTTCACATATTTAGGCTCCTCCATATATATTGCACCCGATTGGGCGTTACTAGCAAATAGTACCGTCAGAAGGCCATACCTGCAAGGGCAGAGTACGTACAAATGGCAATAACCGCCTCACGAGATATCATCATTTCCACTCTATATAATAATCTGCTCTTGCCAACGCTGACAAGTCCTTTTATACTCTTGCGGATTCTCTGTTCATACTCCGGCATTAATAAGCGTTAACCTGCCGGCTGCATGTCCTATCCAACGTGCGCCTTTGTCTTGCGTCCCCCTCTTGCGGAGGGAGAGTGCCATTGCTTTTGTTCCGCCCACGTTTCCGGTCTTTTGTGGAAGGTCAGACCTAGTGCCTTATTTCGTCTCACGTCTAAGGAGAAGTGCGGAAGAGTCGCGTCCGGTTGCCTCCGCTTTGTTACAGTGGACCGTTGCAATATTATGGTATTGGAGCAAGTATTTGTTAAGCTTTAGATTTCCGGCTCTGGAACATTCGTCATGATCAGGAAAAGATCCTACAACAAATTAAATGGTGTGAAGTTTGTCTAGAACTTTGGGTGCTCAAATAATGCTATGTACTGCTGGAATAATGCTGCCATGGTTTATCACTATAGTACGAGCTAAAGTACTGCCAAATACGCTCCTAAGTGCGCGAGTTACACATATATCATATTATAAATTTTACTTTGGAAAGTACGTACTTCACGTATGCATTTCATAATACTGATGAAGACAGATTTGGGACTGTAGGATGAAGTGTTACTCTAATGGTTAGAATGCTGTGGCTTTTTATACACTGTGATGTGAATGAACCAGTGGCGTTTCTTGTAATGAGAATGTTAAGAAACGTCATTTGGTCATTTGCTCATGCCATGAAGTGAATTTTATAATATTACTGTGATCTTGGTTTTTTTAATATTCATGCAGTAGGTGAAAATAATTAGGATTATAACGTAAAATGCTAACGTCATTTATATATCTTAAATATAGTTCCGGTTTCAGCTGAGGTGAATAAAAGAAAGGGTATTGGAATTCAGGTGATTAATGTTTCGGTTAAGACTGCGCTGACCGGATAACCTCTAAGGATACTCCCGCCTGCTCTCTGTACAAGTCATTATCAAATTTAAAATGGACATTTCAGGTTATTAAATTAATTAAATAAACAATGTCCTCTGGGCTCAGGTTACTCAATGCAAGATTTGGATTCTTCTACATGACTCTGTTTTTGGTTAAAACATCTGGTAGGTATTCTATGACGACGTAATCGCCTAGCGTCAACGATACCATATGTAATGGTGCAAGGTCATTGTTCTTTGTTTCTCTAATGGCTTCTTGAAGATCACCGCTGTCTTGTAGTCGTTATTGAAAGCCTGACACGCCAAAGCTGAAAATTTTATCCACTTGCTTACTCAGATTGTATGTGAGACCGTCAGCAGTTGGAACAATGAGTCTAGGAGGCTCATGAGACTTATGGAGTTTTGTCAGGTCGTATGATTTCGACACGCTGCGAGTGCCAACCGTCTGGGTCAAACTGTTGCAATGTTGACATTGCGCTTGCCTCCCAAGACCAGTGGATGTGAAGCATTCTTAGACATATTCCTGATCTTTGGAAAAGGGTTGGCGTAAGAGTGAAAACGTGGTCTATCAGATAGCCTATCTATAGCTGGAATCGGATATATATTGGCAAGAGTGTTAAAAATCAGGTTA